TTTTCGTGTCCGCTCTTGCTTCCTCTCATTTCGAATAGAAAAGTTCGGTAGGGAGCACTAACTCATCAAACCTTTCTTTATGAACAAGATTTTAGAAGATTTAGGATCTGTTCGATAGTGATTATAAGAACTGATTTTTTGACCGTTAGAAAGAAAAGTGGGTCCCGTCCGTGAATGAAGTCAAAATGATGGTTGAAATAATGAAATAACGGTCAAAAATTGTTTTTTTGAATTGAAAAATTGCTATCAAACAGAAATGGCTCAATTTCATTCTCTTCGAGGTTTCTAACAATTTTAATGACCCTTTCTTCCCTTTGAAAGTTATACAAATCTCTCTTATTTCAACTTTTGAATATTGTAAACATATCTTGAGATTAACGATAATTTTATAGACATGCTTCTTTTTTTCCCCTCAAAATTGCGTAAATCTGCTTATCTTAAATTTTGAATGATGCATATCCCTCCCGAACACTTTTCTTTCACATGTTGCTATGAAATTATAGTACTTAAAAGTTAAAATGCTTGTACGTAAATGACTTAAAGTATCTCAAATTAGAGTATGTATCGATGTTACTTGACGAATTGGTAGTCTAAATATTATTTTGTTGTCGATTTAGTTAGGAATGTTAAAATGATATTTTAGATATTGCATTATTCTTAAACAAACCACAAGATAGAAGAAAGTTCGTAAGGTATTTTATGCATTATCAATATTATTTATGCTAACATTTGAAAGAAAAGTGATCCAAGAGATGTGCATTTTTCAAAATTTGAAATAATAGGGATTTGTGTAAGAACCGAGCTTCACGTATGAAAGCTCGATTCACAGGGATGCACAGACCCCTCACTGCAGGGGGTGGGACCCCACAACAATTAAAAAAAGTGGGGCCCGCCCCCACCTCCTCTCACATCTGGTAGGGGCCTGTGAACCAAGCTTCTGTACCTCCAACTTTTTTCTTTGTGTAATTCTAGAAAATGAAGGGTGCGTCTCGAAAATGTGTCATTCAAAACAAATAAGAATTTGTGTAATTTTTGGAAAGGGAGAGTGTCTCTGAATTTGTCATAAACGCACAAGGATGTAGGCGTTATTCAAAACTTGAAAATGGAAGTTCGTCTATTTTTTAGAAATGGAGGTCCGTCTTTCAAACTTTCATAAACCTCCAGGGAGGTCTCGATAATTTGCCCAAATTTATCTTCCCAAAAGAGAGAATTTATTTTTATTGACCTCAGAACCTCAAAATTCGATGAGACCAAGTTGTCCTAAATCATAGTTGGAAAAGGTAAATTACTATAGTCTTATCTTAAATGAGATAAGTAGGCAGGCAAACCACAATTTAGAAAAAAGTATAAAGCATACTTCCAATGTTGGAATTTTTTTTTAGGACTTGTGGATCACATTATGGTTTCTAAAAGATATTGTGGGGTCCACTTAAATTCATAGTTGTCAGTCATTGCTGACCAATCTCCAATGAAAATTTATTTAGATTGATATTTTTACTCATCAAATCCAATATCGGCCGTTGATCCAAAAAAATATTGGTATATTGTGGGGTCCATCTGCTCGTGCCACAGACCTTTCATTTTCTCCTTTCCCTTGTGTTACGGTCAATTAACATTCCATTGAAGTTATTCGTTTTCTTGTCTTGTAAACTGCTCGAGCAATGTGTCACGGGCCGGCTCAAGTCACACCCTTGCGATACGTGACAAATGCCTAACTTGAACGTGCAAGTAAGAAATGATGGGATCAATTTTTATACTACCTCCAAGTTGATTCTCTAAGAGTGATCAAGTCTGGAGAAAGATTGGCATGTCAAGACCTCAATTGTATTCTAAGATTATTGCTTCTTGCATCCAATAAAAAAATCGTGCGCGCCCTTCTTGTGAGGGTAGCTATACACCATGCTTGACAACTCGATGTACGTAAAGTAAAACGCTATTGCTTAGTCTCTCTTTAGGATATACTTTTTTGGGAGACGTGATTGATTACTCGAATAGTATTTGACAACGTAAAAGTTTAGTTTAATTTGTCTACATTTATTAATTAACACATGTCAAACTTTAGTCGAATAATCGTGTACTTAATTCAATATATATCTTGATTCCACGACAAGTTGAATTCTATAATTATCCTATTTTCATGGGGATATTTGCTTTTTATCTAAGGGTCATTTGATAGTCAATAAATATTCTTTTTTTAAAAACATGAATTGAAAAAAAAAAGAAAAAAAATGTAAAAACAAATTGTAGTTCACACATATTTTGGATGAACGGATTGATACTAAGATTCTTTTAAACGACTTTATAATCTGCGATTTTTAACATGCAATCGAACCCAATTATGAATTGATTTTCAAAATTTCCACTTGAATATGCTGACGTTGCTAACTACATATTGACAATAAAGATTGAAATAAATCCACTAGCTATTTTATTTATTTTTAATTATAATTTACTTCATCTTAGGGTGTCACCATGGATATGTCTTTGGTAATATAAAAACTTTAATCTCCATAAAGAGATAAGGGAATAAGCTGTGGAGATAAGGTTTGATTTATCTCGTTTGTACGATAAAAAAAAAAAAAACCATATGCCGTAGAATATTCCATTCCCATTCAGATGCTTCCATGTGTACCTTCCTTCTACACAGACTGAAAATATCACCGATCTTTGTTATAATTTTCTTCCTGAATAAGTTTTTTAAAAAATTCAGTAATTTCGAGACCTTTAGTGCACAGAACAATTAATTTATTTTTATTTTAAAATATTATCTTTCTTTTCTTTTTTTCTTTTTTTTGGCAGAGATCAAGAATTTTTGTTGAAAAGATAATTATACTATTATTTCCTTTAAAACAAAAATATATTTAAGTTATTTTACAAAAAACTTGATGTATGTGTCTACACAGAGAAAAATTTTAAATATATTTTTGTAAAAGGTACTTTGAATGTATTTTTGTACATGGAATTTAGAGCTTTTTTTATTTAGATTTTAAGTCAATTAAAATTAATTTTTTGACCGTTATTTTATTATTTCAACCTTCATTTTTGAATTTTTCTTTCGCAGGTAGAACTCACTTTCCTCCAACAATAAAAAAATCAATTATCAAAATCTCTACCAAACAAGCATTTAAAATAACTCTTTGATATTTGTTCCCAACTTCGACTCTCGTTCCTCAAAATATATGGGAAAAGGTTTTGATGTAGTGGGTGCATTCCAATATCTGAGTTAAAATTTTGATTGTAAGTATAAAATTTGCATGGAAAGAAAATACATTTTAGATAATTTAATTGCCTAGAATTTATTTGTATGGAAATTGTCAATTAAATGTATTTGATTGATTTAATTTTCAATTTAGACAATATTATACTTGTCATTTTTTATTGGTAAGTAGATGAGAGAGAGAAAGAGAGAGTGAATTCCCAGAAAAATAAAATCTTACTCCCTTTAAGAAAATATTTTTCTTGGTTTTGAGAAAAATATAGTTACATGACCAAAAGTAGGAAAATATTTTTTATGAAAAAAATGACAATAAAACAACACAAAATTAGGTATTTGGATAAAAAAAAAATACATTTTTTTAGGAAAAATATTGACAATCAAAATTATGCTAAATGAAATTTATATTAAATTTTTCTTACCTCTAAAACCTATATTTAGGACAAGCTATTTCTAGAGTCCTAGACTGAAGGTCATGTGATTAAGAGATTCAAATAACTCGTTTTATTTCTTTTAAGTAACGGCAATGAATTTGTACCATACCCACCCCCCCCTTTTTTTGTCCTTTTCGAGTAAACGTTGAACTAGATTTTGTAAACATTCTCTGAAAAATTAGACATTTCGGGACTCAAATAATATTCCTAACAGTATTTAGTAATAATTATAATTTCACTAATTATAAATAACTTTATCCCTCATATTTTCATTAAAGAAAATATCCTTAGATTACTTATTTAACCAAATGTAGGTCCTTCATTGACAAAGTAAAAGGTTAGGTCCTCAAATGCAATTTCCCCTTTTCATTTTTGTCTACCTCCCTACTTCGAAAAGCAATAAAGACCTCTTCAAAGAAAAGTCCTTTTCAGAAACATTGCTTCCACCTTTAAGATGCTAGTAAAGATGATTTAGCACGTGTTCGAGAATTTTATTTTTTAAAATTTTACTTTTTAGCAATAATTATCACCGACTACAAAATTGTAAGGAGGGCTAAGTAACGTTGTGACACTTACCTGGCCAAAGAGTACTTATCTTCGTTATTCATTATATTCTGAATAATTATTTCATTATGATAAGTGAATTGTTTTGAATTTTACGACCATATTTTGGTAGAAATCGCTTAAACCCATGAATTATATACAACAATTGATATAGTTTTAACGTTTAGAAAAATAAAAAATTCAAAATAAATTTTTCATAGAGTTGCAAAATATCTACACTGAGGTTGAGTCCGAGCCTCCTTCTTCTAATTTCAATATTGAGATCTTCATTGAGTTGTAGAAACTTGAAGGTGCGTTTTTCATTTTTGTATTGCTTATATAATCAAAATTTTGAAAGTTCTTCTGGTTTTTGAGGTTCTCGAATTGAAATAAGGGAGCCCGACCCCATTTTGAGGAAAATAATGAGTTTTTGAAGGGTGTATAGATGGAAAATGTGTGGTTAAAAAGTAAGGAAAATTTTTAGATTTATGTATAATATTCTTTTAAGTAATTTTTTGTTTTGAACAAATAAATTTTTTTTTTTATGATACTGATTAAAATCCAAATTTTAACTACACATTTCATCAATTTTTATCAAAATCTAATTTTAATCTATATCAGACAGGGGCTTAAGTAGAATTCATTTACTTCCATTGAAATTGCAATAAAATCTAAATTTTCTTTATTTCTTATTTGAGAAAAAAATCAATTTTTAAAAAATTAGTTGTTTACTTATAAGTGAAATTTTTAAGTTTAGCCAAACATGAAGTTTTCTCCTTGACCTACATTTATGCACACACCTGACTCAGATATTATTGTGCGCTAACAGTTTCAGCCCATTTTCCTCTCACAATATCTATATCTATATCTGTGTCCACACGGTAGTAGCTTCCTTTGAACCACAAACAAACCGAAACATCAAGAGCAATTCCCATATTTCCGATAATGTAAAAACACCCCATTAAGATCCGATCCATTTTGAATTCAATCCAATTTTCTGCCATTAATTAAGTTAAATTTGTGGGTGTTTTGCAATAATGACAAGGAGGTGCTCGCATTGCAGTCATAACGGGCACAATTCTCGGACGTGCCCGAATCGAGGGGTGAAGCTTTTTGGGGTCCGATTGACGGATGGGTCGATCCGGAAGAGTGCAAGTATGGGTAACTTGACCCATTATATGGGTGGTGGTGGGAGTGGAAGTGGGACCCCCTTAAACGGCGTTGCTCATGATTCCCCGGCCGACACGCCCGACCACCCCTCATCTGGTTCCGGGGCCGCTGATGGATATGCCTCGGAAGACTTTGTTGCTGGGTCGTCTTCCAGCCGCGAGAGGAAGAAAGGTTTAGAGTTTTAATATATTTTTTAATTCTTTTCTTTTTGTGTATGCTTGCGTTTGACTACAGAATTTATTTTTTATTATTATTATTTTTTTTTTTGGGGGATATGTGTGTGTATTTCTAAAAGCAATAAAGACCTCTTCAAAGAAAAGTTCTTTTCAGAGACATTGCTTCCACCTTTAAGATGCTAGTAAAGATGATTTAGCACGTGTTCGAGAATTTTATTTTTTAAAATTTTACTTTTTAGCAATAATTATCACCGACTACAAAGTTGTAAGGAGGGCTAAGTAACGTTGTGACACTTACCTGGCCAAAGAGTACTTATCTTCGTTATTCATTATATTCTGAATAATTATTTCATTATGATAAGTGAATTGTTTTGAATTTTACGACCATATTTTGGTAGAATATCGCTTAAACCCATGAATTATATACAACAATTGATATAGTTTTAACGTTTAGAAAAATAAAAAATTCAAAATAAATTTTTCATAGAGTTGCAAAATATCTACACTGAGGTTGAGTCCGAGCCTCCTTCTTCTTCGACCTTCTTCTAATTTCAATATTGAGATCTTCATTGAGTTGTAGAAACTTGAAGGTGCGTTTTTCATTTTTGTATTGCTTATATAATCAAAATTTTGAAAGTTCTTCTGGTTTTTGAAGTTCTCGAATTGAAATAAGGGAGCCCGACCCCATTTTGAGGAAAATAATGAGTTTTTGAAGGGTGTATAGATGGAAAATGTGTGGTTAAAAAGTAAGGAAAATTTTTAGATTTATGTATAATATTCTTTTAAGTAATTTTTTGTTTTGAACAAATAAATTTTTTTTTTTATGATACTGATTAAAATCCAAATTTTAACTACACATTTCATCAATTTTTATCAAAATCTAATTTTAATCTATATCAGACAGGGGCTTAAGTAGAATTCATTTACTTCCATTGAAATTGCAATAAAATCTAAATTTTCTTTATTTCTTATTTGAGAAAAAAATCAATTTTTAAAAAATTAGTTGTTTACTTATAAGTGAAATTTTTAAGTTTAGCCAAACATGAAGTTTTCTCCTTGACCTACATTTATGCACACACCTGACTCAGATATTATTGTGCGCTAACAGTTTCAGCCCATTTTCCTCTCACAATATCTATATCTATATCTGTGTCCACACGGTAGTAGCTTCCTTTGAACCACAAACAAACCGAAACATCAAGAGCAATTCCCATATTTCCGATAATGTAAAAACACCCCATAAAGATCCGATCCATTTTGAATTCAATCCAATTTTCTGCCATTAATTAAGTTAAATTTGTGGGTGTTTTGCAATAATGACAAGGAGGTGCTCGCATTGCAGTCATAACGGGCACAATTCTCGGACGTGCCCGAATCGAGGGGTGAAGCTTTTTGGGGTCCGATTGACGGATGGGTCGATCCGGAAGAGTGCAAGTATGGGTAACTTGACCCATTATATGGGTGGTGGTGGGAGTGGAAGTGGGACCCCCTTAAACGGCGTTGCTCATGATTCCCCGGCCGACACGCCCGACCACCCCTCATCTGGTTCCGGGGCCGCTGATGGATATGCCTCGGAAGACTTTGTTGCTGGGTCGTCTTCCAGCCGCGAGAGGAAGAAAGGTTTAGAATTTTAATATATTTTTTAATTCTTTTCTTTTTGTGTATGCTTGCGTTTGACTACAGAATTTATTTTTTATTATTATTATTTTTTTTTTTGGGGGATATGTGTGTGTATTTCTACGTGATTTGTAATATATTTGATGAAGTTTGGATCTAAGGAATTTCGGTTCCAGTGGAAATTATGAGAATAAAATTTTCGCCCCAAGAAAAAAAAAAAAAAGTGCTCAGATTTGTGATTTTTCTGTTCCTCTCTTTCCCTGTGTGTCGGCTCACATATAGAAATTGCTGCGGCAAGTAATATGAATGCCTTTTCAATTATCTACATGCCTACAAAATGATGTGTGTGGGTGTGCGTATCTCTCTGTCTGCTCAAAGATGGTGTGTTTTGTTAATACACGTCTTTTAAAAAATTCGTTGGTATGTGTGAAGTGATTGGTTTTGTTGTTATTCTAGTGAAGAATTAATGCGAGAAAGTGGGATTTTATTTTTGTAAAATCCTGTTGATTTGACCTTCTTTTGAGTTAATCGCAGAGGGGAAGAAATCTTAGAAACAATAAAACAAATTGGGTTTTTATAAGCGTATAGACAAGAAGAAATGTAATGAAGATCATGCAGCTGTTATAATGGTTATATCTCTATTTGTGTTTTTCTAAATGATGGAGATCTATAAAAAGGAACCATTGCTTTCAAGGCCAAAATGCATAGAGGAACTCATCAGATAAAATGAGAAGCACATTCGAGTTCCTATGTATTGTTACTCCTTGTCATCAGGCAAATGCCCTTTTTTCTTTATGATTACTGGCGAAAACCAAAGGAGAAAACAGATCACTCCTTTGGTTGGTTTGCATCTTGTGACCTACAAATAGATTTAGTTCTCCATACTCTAAAGAGAAATTTAGTATTAACAGAGACTCGGTTGCAGTCACAATTTTTTTGAATTATTTGGCTGAAATTTCTGTTCTGTTTGGTTTATTGGAGTTTTTGTTATTACTAAGCAGCCATCTTTTCAAAGCAGTTAGCCATGTGATTCTTCTGTTGTATCCATTATTTTTATTACCTTAATAATTATTTTCTAGGTTTTTGTGAGTTGATAAGAACATAACTTGTGATCATCTCAATAACTGGTCATGTTTTTGGCCTTGTGTTTATGAAGACTTGAAATATCAAGAAAGCTCAGATGGCATGTTTGGTAAGGAGGATTGGATAGTACTTTATAGAAGGAAGAAAAAGAAGTATGTGTTGATTGTATTGAAATTTTACAACAGCTCTATAGTTTCCCTCGCCAAAAAAAAAAAAAATTCAGATTCATTAATCATGGTTGAAACTTCTGTTTATCAATTATTGTCACCAGTGAGGGTGCCAATGTTTCAATAGATTGCCTGATTCTGAGTGACCATCCTTCTGAATGTTGGTGGTGTATCTGTCATTATACACACTCTTAAGCTCTCTTCATGCACACTTCTTCTCAACGTTCCCGCATTATCTGTTACGTATTTTTTTTATGTTTGAAACGGTCATTTGTTTGATTTTCAGGTGTTCCATGGACTGAAGAAGAGCATAGGATGTTTCTGCTTGGTTTGCAAAAGCTTGGTAAAGGTGACTGGCGTGGAATTGCTCGTAATTATGTAATAACCAGAACACCTACTCAGGTGGCTAGCCATGCCCAAAAATACTTCATCAGGCAAAGTAATATATCCAGGAGAAGACGACGTTCCAGCCTCTTTGACATTGTGGCAGATGAAGTAAGCATTCCTTAATAAATTTTATGTATAAAAAGTGGACGATACCAATACATGGTAGGGAGGATGGAATAGTATTGGACCATATTAAGGAAGAATAATAAGCCAACATTTTGTTTGTTGTATATTATGTCCTGCGTCGGGTTTTTCCATATCCTTTTGTGTGTGTGTGAAGCTCGCTAAAGTGGTTTTGCTTAATGTGATATGCGATGTGAATGCTAGATGATTGGCATATTCCTATTGTTCAATGAAAATATTCTGGACTGAACTAAAATATGTTCTTGAGAAATTGCATTGAATATGACAATTAAATTGTGTATTTATGTGATCCGTTTGGAGGATTAACTTGATTCTATTTTCTTGTGATAATTTTACAGGCAGCAGACGATCCCGTGGTAGCAAGAGACTTTTTCACTGTAGATCATCCTCAGGCCGAGACACAAAGCAGCACCGCATTTCCTCCTCTTCCTGTGGACGAAGAATGTGAATCAATGGAATCTGCAAACTCCAACGAGGGCGAGACCATGCTTCCTAAACCTGAGGGCGCCCAGTACCCATTCCCTGCTGTATATCCTACTTACGTTGCTCCTTTCTTTCCATTTTCCATCCCATTCTGGCCAGGGTACAATCCGGAGCCTGTTAAAGAAGAAACCCATGAAGTGCTCAAGCCAACAGCTGTCCATTCGAAGGATCCAATTAACGTTGACGAGCTTGTTGGCATGTCAAAACTAAGCTTAGGGGAATCCATTGGTGATTCAGGGCCGTCGTCTCTCTCTCTAAAACTTGTCGAAGGCTCTAGTAGGCCATCTGCTTTCCATGCTAACCCGGGGTCTGGCGGTTCAGGTATAAGCTCTAGCCACAGCCCAATTCGGGCCGTGTAGAAAATATAAAATGGTAATGATGATGTAGGTTCACTCCGTGCCCTTGAACTCTGGACTCCATTTGTTAATACTTAATAGAAGACAATAGCGTTTAGGATGGCTTGGGTAAGTTGTTTTATCTATGAGGTTTTAATAAGTTTATGTTGGGGAATGATTTACTTATCATAATTACATCAAATCCTATATAATTTGAAACCTTCTTAACAATTGCAAAAGCTTTGGTAGCTTTATTTTATTTTTATTTTTTTCATAAAAATTGACTTTTATAATTTTTTTTTTGTTCTCGTATCATTTTTCCTTGATAAATATATCATCATTTACATAATTTTTTAAGAATTGATGATGTGTCAAAAAGAGAGTTGGGGATTTTTTATTTTTATTTTTTAATTTGGTTGATGAAATTTTGACACAATCAAATCTCGTCACATCATCTGTTGGTAAACAATTATGTAAGTGATATACATATACGGGAGGGAGGGAGATGCCATTTGGAAAATTCTCTTTACACTCATCTTGATTGCTGGGATGGTATCGGCAACTCTATAACAAACTTTTCAAATCTCCAACCGGTTTAAATAAACCTAATTTTGAAGATTAATAAAAGGACATGAAAACCATCAACTACAATTGGATACTTCCTTTGAAGTTTCTTCTTTAATGTTATGTTATGCTTATTTACAAACAAATAAAGCTTAAATGAAGTTTATATGTAAAATGAATCAAGCCCGTGTTAGGTGTAGATTAAAATTAGATTCTCAGTATATTTTATAAAAGTTGATGTAATGTATAATTGAAAAGTCGGGTGTCTTATGAAATATTTGATTAAAATTAATTGTTGATTTTGATTTAAAATTTTAGTTCAAACCAAACGGGGTCTAAATAAGGTTTGTGAAGAACCACTTAAGAAACAATACAAAAGTTCATTATATAAAACTTGTTTAAAAAAAAAAAAAAAAAAAACTCCATCCTCATGAAGTGTGCAAGAGAGAAAAACATGTATTTATACAAAGGTACTTTTTTTTTTATATATAATTTAATACGAGAATCACGTTGTTCTAAAAGTTCAGGATGATTAGTGTTTAAAAACTTATTCGTTCTTTTAAACATAATAAATTATGATGAATTGAGCAAAATTCTACTTGATTAAGTGTAATTATGTTCATTTCTTGGAAATTGATTCAACTAGTGCGGAAAACGGTGAGTTTGAACTATTTGGAGTTGGTTTGGAGCAACCAAAAACTAATTGAATGGCACGGGAGTGCTAAGAAGTAAAAAGAAAGCTATCATAGGAAAATTACAAGTTTCGCTTGGTGAAATTCTTTCTTTCTGGAAAGTTTGAAAATTAAATTTTCCACATTTTTGGAACTTGAGATTGACTAATTTTGAATGACTGAAGTTTCGGGGACCAATTTGGAAGATTTTAGAAAGTTCGCCATCAATGATGAAAAATGACCAAAGGCAAACTAAAAAGTTGACTGAGGATCAATTTGAATGATTTTGGAAGAAAAATGATAAAACCTTGCAATCGCTGGGTTTGAATCTAATGATAGCAAGCAAGGTAATAACATGAAGGGAGAAGTTATTCGTACACCATGATATACAGCATAGTATATAGCCCCTCTTACATGTTGAGGGGGCTCACATTAATATTAAATTTGTGGGTCTCCTCATTGTGAGGGGACTGTAAAAGTGTACAGCACTACTTATACAGCCCCAAGTGCTGTACCTAACATGAAACAACCATGTGATCACATTCTTATGCGAGACATAATCATATTTTCTCGTACATTTTATTTAGGCTTCTGTTTGGAATGATGATTGGACATGAATTGTACTCTACTTTAGGACTATAACCAGAAATTTTTATCTTTCAAGCGAAGAGAGGCATTGATTCACAAACACGTATTTGCATAGAAATTCAATGCCTTTACTCGAATTTTGGAAGAGGAAGCATTGAATACAAGAAGATTATTCAAGAATTATTAAAAGATTCAAGATTTATTTTCTGCTTTCTTCCTATAATTGAAATTCGGGCGTTGTATTGTTATTTCAAATCGTATTTTTGTAACTTTACGATACTCGGTTAATGGTCTAGGCACTAGGATGAAAATGAATCTTATATTTTGAAGTTTTAATGTCTAGAAATGATTGTGCTTTTCCATTTGGAAATTATTCATAACTAAGAGTTGTATCCCCTATTTTGAAGTGTTGCACCACAATCTGCACTGTTTCATGGAAAATGACAACTCTTTCATGTCCTATAAATGAATGACCAAGTCCAAAGATTATAAAATTGAGATCTCCTCTTTGCATAAATGATCCAATTTCGGGTCACGAAATTTCCCTTCTAAAGCTCTACAACTTTTACTCTTTAATTCGAAATTCGATTTTGCAAATCTGAAGTGTCCTCGTCAATTCCTTTGGGATGATGGAAATTCCTTCTATTTTGTATGCAATTGCTTGAAAACTTTCAATACTAGAGGAGCAAAATCATTTTAAGAAAAGATCGTAAATTCGATCAACTCAGATAATTGTTGAGATTACTTCACGAGATAATGTAGATTTGATTTTATTCAGGAAAAATTGCAGTCATGATACCAAAATCTTTCTGAGGCTTGACCCAAATCTTTTATTTGTGTCACTTACAATACCGAACATTCAACAAAACTCGTACCTGAAATCCAAATGGATGGTTTCTGTTAGTTTGACAATTATTCAATTAAATATTTGACTTTGACCATAATTTTGACTAATTTTAAAAGGATAAAATTGCTACTTTACCTTTTTTTATTAAAAAGATAATTATAATATATTAATAATTAAATAAAAAAGTCAAAAATCAAACGCAAAAACCACTACCCACGACCATCCACTTTTTCCTCCACTCCCTTACACCAAAACAACCAATGGTAGGGACAAACGCTATCACCACGACCCTACCCCCACGCCGACGTCATTGCTTCTTCCAACACCATTCCTTCCACCCACATACCATCCATTAACGAAATACACACTCTAAACTCGCACACAATTGAATCATTTTCTATCAAAATTCCTAACCCACAATATAAATATCACTCTTAATTTGTACAAGTAAATTAATTGAGAAAAAAGAAGCACTGGGCATTGGTTCTCTTCGGGTATTCTGCAATTTATTTGGCATCCAGTAGATGAATTCGGTGCTTGTAAGTTCACTATAACTCAATCTGGAATTGGTTATTGTGATTAAGTTATTGGGTTTGGTCCTGAGTCTATTAACGGGCAATTCATTAAAGCAACTGAAGCGTCATTTTTGGGTATAGCCTGTTGGGAAGTTCTACGTCAATTCTCTTTATTTATATTTACTTGCTGGATCTTTTGTTGTTCAAAAAAATATTAGCAAACAAAAAAACTAAAGAATATGACACGCAAATTAAACGGACCATCAAAACTTTTCACTATATAAAAAATTGTTATAATCATATAAAATTTCACTCACCAACCCAATCCTCCTAACCATCTAACGCTTTGATACCACTTGTTGGGAAGTTTTACACTAATTCCATTTATTTCTATTTACCCGTATGATCTTTTGTTGTTCAGAAGAATATTAGCAAACAAGAAAAATAAAGAATATAACGCACAAATTAAACGGACTGTCAAAACTTTTCACTATATGAATTTTTTTTACAATCATATAGAATTTCATTCACCAACCCAATCCCAAAGTATTACAAAGAAAAAAATAAACCCGAGTTTTACCAACTCTACTTTTCTACCCAATGTACGAAAAGTTTCAAGATACTAGGCTCACAATATTTTTCTTTCAGCTCATCTCTTTGGCTACACCTAAAATAATGAAATGCATCCACTATTTATAAGATCAATAATCAAGTAGAAGAGTTTAGTTTAAACTCAAACAAAACTCCTTTAACTCAACAAGAATTTCTTCATGCGCAAGATTCCAAAATCGGCTGTAAATTGGAGACCAAATTCTGCAAGGATTCTGCTCTCAATTTTAATTAGAAGTCTTCAATACAATAACTACCTTTTTCTTATCTGCAATAGAAGTCCTCCAACTTTTGACTTTTGAGGCAATTACCCAACATAGCCTAGAGTCTGTACCAGGTGGAAAAGATGGAGACGGATTTGGGGAAGAGGTAGAGACCTAAGCTATAATTTGTGGTAGATTTAGGTCCCTAAATGTGCCGATGATGTTGCACGATGGTTTCCAACTTCTTCTCCGAGTAAATTCCATTTTCTTTTTTCTCAGCTTTTTGGTCGAAGCTATGGCTTCACCGATTGCCAAGCTCGGGCATCTATCGATAGACAATAATTTCAAGGATGAGAAAGAATAAGTAGAAGAATTTGGCTATGCCTGGTTTTAAGGCGGCCTTGGGGATAAAGATTAAGGTAGTGGTGCCAGTGATCACAGCAAAAGGTGGTGGTGGCTTTGAAATTTGGTTTCGGAGAGTGGGGGTGGAGTGGAGGGAAGAAGAACCTTTTTATTTCTTTTTCTTTTTTTGATATTTTATTTACTTAATATAATTATTTTAGGTAGAATAATACAAAAATACATTTTTACCCCTTCTAAATTGGTCAAAAGAGGTCAAACTAAGGACAATTAACAGAAACCATCTATTTGGACCCCGGGTGCTAATTTTTTGAAAGATTTGTTACTGTGAGTGACACAAATGAAATGTTTGGATCAAGTATGCATAAAAGTGAAATGTTTGGTACCGTGACTACAATTTTCCCTTTTACTTGCGTGACAGTTTTATAGTGGATGTGGCTGATCTAACCGGGAGTTTGATTTTTCTTCAATTTTCGCTTTATAGAAAATTCAAATCCCCTCGAATTAATTTTTTGATTACTTAATTAAAATATTTTTATTTATTTATTTTTATCGGAATAGTGACAACGAGCAATCTTCACCATTAGCTTCCAACAAACATTAACTTGACGTAAAACTAAATTCATACCACATTTTACGTAACATCAACATCAGTCTAGGTGTTAATAAAATTCATTGATTCATTGTCTAATGATTAATTTATTGTCCAGTGACTTCATTAGACAATAAATTAGTGAGATCTACTGATATTTAAATTGAATAATGCTATTCATAATTAACGATAATCAGTTCATCTTATATGATAGCGTATTATTTGAAACACCAATGGGTGACAAACTAATAAAAACTTAGTGCCTTAAATAACAAACTGTCA